ATCAAAAGAGTATATGAATATATAAAAAATTTTTAATCTTTTAAATATTAAATTCTACTATTATTCTACTGTTTAAAAGAAAAAGTGATTACTTAATTTACTTTTTTCTTTTAAGTAAGGGTGAACTTTAACAAAATATTTTCTTTATAATAGACTTAAAATATACTTATTATAGAGAAAAGAACTCATTATTAAGTAGTCAAAACAAGAATTCATTTTCTTTTAAATAATATTAGAGAAAATTTTATTAAAGAAAATGACTTTATATAATAACTAAATCAAATTTGTTTTACTTCAATGATCTTGTGATTGAAGTATTAAACTTATTAGAATTCAAAATATATCTTGAATTTTGATGCTTGTGATGATTTTACGATAAATTTGCTGGTGATATATATATATATATGAATTTCTGAAGTATTTAAAACACAAGAAATTAATATTTAATTACAGTATACGCATCTTTTGTATGTAGATTTGTTAATACTTCTTGCTGCTAAGTTTTCGACTGCATGTAAGTTAAGTAACGTTCGCTCCATAAAACGCTGATAATATTATTTCCAGAAATATCGGGCTTTTTGCAATCTTACGTCATGATGGCAGGTATTGTCGTGTGTTGCGCACTTATTAATTTGCTCCAAAATGTAAGCGGACAGAATGATTTGCGCGAAGTATTCAGACAATTTAACGAATCCTTTTCAACGTAAGACATGATAGTTAATGTACACTCGTGTCCGCGAGCGGTTCTTCGAGAAGGTGAGCGCGTTTTCTTACGGGTTGTAATTTACAATCACGTCGCGAGAAAAGAACCGAAATATTTGTAAGTCTGCCATACAAACGTAACCGAATACATGTACATATATGCCACATATATATACTGTACGGCGGTCACTAATGAATGCACATGTATTATCCTGCGGTAATTACCATATCAAGGTCTCGTTGTTGATCCCTAACACTGTCCTAATTGCCACGCTCGACAATTTATTAAATTGCTCTATTATGAAGTCCTGTTCTTCCCTTTCTCCTTCGTTCATTTCACTCGAGGCTTTAAGGATTCACACCCGCTCCCCTCGGCGCGATTTCGTCGGCTGCAGGGCAAATCGTGCACATTGTACACATTGTTTATGGAAATCGCAGCAGGACGTTGTAATGTGCCTCATTTCGCATATTTTAAAAGATGATTACTATGCGGATGATTGCGCCGTTTTACATATAACACTCGTTGGTTGAGTGGTCACATTTCGGAGAACGCGATGTTACAGATTAACGTTGTATCATCAGGAATAAGTGTACGTGTGAGTGCGTGCGAAAAGGCTGTGCTAACAGGAAATGATATTAGTTAAGAAACACGGGCACTGTGACTTTCACGAAATCTCATTTCCGAAAATTTTCTTAGCGTGTGATGATATTTACATATATGGTTATGCAATATTATAACAAAATATATTTCATACTCAATAATTTTCAATATATTTTCTATATATATTTTACTTTCGAGTATTTTTATTTCTACATAAATATTATTAAAATATAAGTTACTAAAATATCATCAAATATTTAATCTTAATTATCATCCATATTATATCGTGACTATCGCAAAGTGACGTTAACAATGCATCAGCTTTATCGACACGCAATTTACGCTTGAAGCACATACAAAATTTAAGCAGTGTAAGATGTAAGAAGTAAGCAAATCAATATTTTAGATTAGTTACTGCTACTTACGTTATTACCTTGTGTTTTCTATTGTGATTGACTGATTTGCTTACGTCCTTACACTTTTTTATGTTCCATGGGCATGTATAAACTGTAAGAGATCGTATCGCTATTAAATTCATTATACGTGCAAACGATAGATGTCCGTACGTCCGTTAAAATATTGCAAAATTGCACTGACAATACCATTTACGTCATGCAGCATTAATGTCCAAGTGTCGGCAATTTTAAGATCTTTCTCTCTCTCTCTCTCTCTCTCTCTCTCTCTCTCTCTCTCTCTCTTTAGCGGAGACAAAACCTCGAAATAGCAGTGATGACGAACAAACTATTTGTTTCGCAGAAGTTATGGACATAACGTGTACACGCAGGTGAGGCAAAAACTCTTTGGGCTGTCGCCGCTGTGGGCTTGTAATTATACGTGTCATCTTAATATTGGTACCGCAGTCATATCGCTCAACAACATTACCACGAGCATACAACTGGCTGTTTCAAGTTTTAACTTTCAGCCGTAAAGAAATGAAACACGCAATTCGAGTTTTTGTGTGTTTCATATATTCTATGTTAATACTTATTTTGCAATATTCAGTAATTGAATGGATTGAAGTAGGACAGACCTTAGTTGATGTGATTTCTGGAAATAATATCACATGCTTATTGTTTTTAATAAATAAAGCCATTTTAAAGTAAAATATTTTACTTTAAAACATTATTTAAATTAAATTTCAGCGTTCTTGCATATTTTTAATTTTTCTTTTAACATCAGCTAAGATAATTTTCCAAAAAGTAAGAGGTTATTTAGAAGCTAATACGTGCTTAACAATAAGTTTGATATGTCACGAAATGCGGTGCTGTAATTTGTGTAATAAAATTGAACAAAGTGCCTTTACTCGCTTTACTAATTGTAAATATAACTACGACCATTCTGTGGTGCGTGAAGAGTGTAAATAGAAAAGAAGGATATAGGATAAAGAAAACGTGTAAGGTAAAAGATGAAGGAAGAGCGCTTGAATATTTTGTGTAAATTCCAAAATGGATCAATGATCATTTTCACGTGCAATATTACAACTTACAGCTGTACGGAGAAAGTTGCGTCAGAGCGCGTGCAACTCGATGACTCATTTTCATTCGCCCACAGAAATTATCGCTAATTTAATGTATGAATATATATATGTATACTGCGATATAATCTATCTTCGACTGTAATCTTATTTCATACATCCCAAATACTATTATTAATCTTTTCATTAATCATGTTAGATATTGATAACGTTATATATAGATCGTTACCAAATTTTACTTTTAGATAACAGTCCAATGCTTACAATGCATTTTGAATCAATTTCTCTTTAATAGAAACAGAATAAAATAATCGTTTTCTGTAATATTTTAGTTTTTGGATGTTAAATATCTACTGAAGTTTATATCTACTGAAATTCTTGACATTCTCATTACTTGCAATTCTAGAATTAAATTACAAGGTTTTTAAAATTTTTAATTTTTAAAGTTTGTAGTTTTTAATTTTTTAAGTTTTTAAACTTTTGCAACTATTTATTTTTTATTTGAATATTAAAGAAAGACTTCTTTATGCGTACTTTTTATATCTTCAAAGACGTTGTGATAAATTTAACTTTACCTATCGCCATAAAAAGTCCCATGTTATAGAACGCGGGAATCTTGCGTGACTTGAGTATTGCTTCCAGAAATACTTTTACCCCACTCTCGATATCCCCTGGTGTCTTATGATTGGTGGAAGTTGAAAGATTCAAGTGAAGAAAGTCTCATCAAGCTGGATCGATGATGAACATAGCCGTCACGTGCGTACATTGCGTCATGTTACGCGTGCGCTATGTCACGTTATCTCTTCGAAACCACGAAGCAGTTCGAAGTATTTTGTACTTAATACGATATTTAAATCAAAGTCCACGTGATATATTTTGCTAGAATTAAAAAAAAATTTTTATAAATTGTCGTTTTCCGATTTCAAGATTTTGGGGACTGTTCTGTCCAGATAATCATGGACACTTTATACATATATTTCATCATTGTCTTGCCGTTCGTAGAAATTGTGCAAGGTGGGGCAAGGTCACTTTGGCGAATCCACATCCCTGAACTGCCAGTCCAGTAGAAGAATAGCAGTGTGCCAGCTGCAACGCATTCAGTCTGCGTTCGACAGTGTTGAAGAATAGTGTATAGGAAGAATACTTATTAAGGTCAGTGACAACTCTCTTCAATTATATCACTTAAAATTATTTTAATTTTAATCGTAAAGTCTCACAGTGTGTAAAAAAAGTGATGAATAACAATTTGATAATTTTTCATCTAGACTCATTATTTCTAACATCTGAATAATTTTAAAATTGCTGAAGATTACTAGAGCGGAAAATTAATTTAAATAAGTTTTTTAGATTTAATCATTTAGAATTATTGTTATTTTGTTAATATTTAGAAATATTTTTAATACGAGCTGAAATTTTTTGTTGTATTTCCAGCGCTTGAACGAGCTGTACGTTATCAGTTTATTTCTTGTTACTTGCGATAAAACATACACATAATAAAACCTGTACACATTACACCGTGTACCGGTATATTGCAATTTATCGTTTTTTGACTTCCCGTATAAAGTGTAGTAAGTTAATAATACTGAATGCGTTGTACGAGTCTTTCGTCAATTATATTTTGCTGGTCAAGCGTTATTAGCGAACTATGATTAATGATCTGACTGCAAATCCCGCAAACCAATGTGTAGTTAAATTCCAAAGTGTTTTTTCGGATCATAGTTCGCACGTTTGCACCTGCTGAAAGATAAGTGCTAGTATACGAAGTTCTGATTATGGACAGATACTGCCATCTAACAACTGTATGCATCATCCATTGCATTCGTTGCAGGTGCATGCTACAAGTATAGAAACTGCATAATACATTTTACAACCATCTCTTGAAATGGTATTTCCCCAACGCAGTAGTTTGTTATAAAAAAATGTAGACTTGATATTATTAATAATATTCAACTTGTTTTAACGATAGTAAAAAAAGGATTAATTTTATTAGAAAAGAATTTTATCGAAAACAGTGGCAAACAGAATACAGTCAGATTTCATAAGTATGTTTTTAATGATACATATGATTTTTTTCAATCTCCGCAGTGATACAGTGACTTATTGTTTTTTGTCTATTTTTACTAATTATTTTAAATTTAGTTTTTTTTTATTACTAACTAATAAATTCAAAAGGATGAAAAGTAACGTAAACGATATACTTATATATATTAAAATTTAAATTATGAAGTTATTGATATTAATGCATTAAATTATTCTGATGAATATTTACAGAAAATGGCACCATTAAAGGATCAACTTTTAACTACTGTAACAGAATCGGTGTCAACCGGTAGAAATAAAATCACAGTGGTCGGTGTCGGTCAAGTTGGAATGGCCTGTGCTTTTAGCATTTTGACAAACGTGAGTTAATTATATTAATGTTATGTAATTATAAATGTAGAATAACATTTTATATATGTTAATTTTGCTATTAAAATATGATTCTTATTTTTTCACAAATAATAATAAATAAAATCGTACATCTCAAATAACTATATATTTAATATGTTATATGTATGTAATTGCAGTGACACATACATGCAAAATTATATGACAATATATGCAAAATTCACATCACTTATTAAATTATTATTGCAGCATGTTTCGAGCGAAGTGGTATTAATTGATGTAATGGCGGACAAATTAAAAGGAGAAATGTTAGACTTGCAACATGGCAGTGCATTTATGAAGAATGCAAAAGTGAGTGCCAGTACAGATTATACCGTGTCCGCGAACTCGAGTCTCTGCATCGTGACAGCGGGTGCTCGTCAGCGCGAAGGTGAAACCAGATTGGATTTGGTTCAACGTAACACTGACATTTTCAAGGGCATTATACCTCAGTTAGTCAAATATAGCCCAAACACAATTCTCCTCATTGTTTCCAATCCGGTGGACATTTTGACTTATGTAGCATGGAAACTTTCCGGCTTGCCAAAGAACAGAGTTATTGGCAGTGGTACAAATTTAGATTCTGCCCGCTTTCGCTTTTTGTTATCGCAAAAACTTAATGTCGCACCTACGTCTTGCCATGGCTGGATTATTGGAGAACATGGTGATACCAGTGGTATGTAAATACTCTTTTAAAATAGAAAACTTTTAATACCAGATGTATAAAATAAACTTAGCTGGAATCGTTTGATGTATCTATCGAAAATATGATTACTTATCATATTTTCAATAGCTAAATCAAAGAATTTCAAAAAATATATTGCTTCCTATAGCTTTTCTTCAACTAAAAATTTAATATTTGTATAAACAAATAAATGCATATGTATATATTAATAAAAAATAATTAATAAATTTTAGTATATTATAATTATATGAGACTCTTGTTTTTTTATTTGTATCAGTGCCTGTATGGTCTGGAGTTAATGTTGCCGGAGTACGTCTACGTGATTTGAATGAGTATGTGGGTACCGACAAAGATGGGGAACATTGGAATGAATTACATAAGCAAGTGATACAAAGTGCGTATGAAGTTATCAAATTAAAGGGCTACACCTCATGGGCAATAGGTCTTAGTGTTTCGCAACTTGCATCGGCTATACTAAGAAATTCCAATCAAGTACACGCTGTGTCTACGCTGGTTACTGTAAGTCGACAATATGGATTTCTGCTACATTAATTTACGGTATCTTATATATTGTGTATATAACAAATATAATTTTAATACCATTGAAATTTATATTTGTATATTTCGTTAAACACAATTAAAGGATTATCAAATATTTCATATTTTGTTTTTTTTTACACAAATTGATTATAATTTTTATATTATTTTTTAATACTTGTAATTATTTTACATTTTTAACAATTTTAGTAATAATTATATTATTGGTTAAAAATTTAAAAACTATTATGTTTATAT